TTAAAATGTAATTCTAAATCAACTTACACCAATGTGCAGGACAGAACTTCAAACGATTCTTATTATCAGTTTTCAAAGTGCAAACCTTTCATTAGCCACCAATAAAGTAACGTAATCAAATAAATTGGTCGTTAGTTGACAAAGTTTCTTTTGTAAAGTTTCCGAAGCTGCCACGTGAACAAACTTAACAATTAATTCGAGTCTTTATCGCAAAATTCAATAACTGCCAATAAGTTTGTTCCAAATATTTATCACAGATTATTAATTTATTACTAAGGCATTAAATTGAATTAAATATAATCTTATGAATGTATGAGTAAGACATTTTAAAACAGATTATGAATCGAGTTCTGCAGTTGTCTCCATCCAGCTCATTTTGGATTGAACGCACGCTAAGCTAAGTCATCAGTAATATTATGTATGAATTCGTATGATACTCAAAAGTGAATAAAACTCAGTTATGGAACAGCTATTTGCTACGGAATTGCTTTAACGCTATCATATACATTAAGAACATTTATATTTCTATATCATCATAAAAATATAATTAGGTATTCATTGTATAGAGTATATTATTTGGACCACAATACCAATATAAATTAATGGCATAAATCCATTAATTTATATTGGTCAATTCCTTGTAATAGATATAATCTATCTAAGAAAAATATAATATCAATTAATCATTTTTTTATCTGAACATTTTAGTTTGACAGTTTAATTAAATAACATAAGAAAAGTAATAATTTCAATCTTATAAAACATTCTTCTCAGGATTACCTACTAAATTAATAATAATAAAATAATTACTCATCATCTAATATGTTGGAGAATAATACATAAACGTGACTATTACATTACTGCTCATTTGAGTCGTTTTAGCCAACTTTCCTGCCAATTAGCTTCATGAAAACACCGTGGACCCAAACAAAAGGAGAGGGAGGGTCATGAATTTATTGTTAGGTTACTGGCTTAAGTTATTTAAGTGTACGCGGAACGGGCGTTATTCACGTGCGAGACGCGGCGCAGAATGCAGCTTCCTGCGACAATTTATCATGAATCTTTAATTAAACTTCAACAGTGACTGTTCGCGGGAGACTCATTGTGTCTCGCAATAAGTCCTCTGTATCGATTCTTTGCATCTAATTTCAGTTCTCTTAAACAAGTATGAATATTGCATATTATTATAATTGTAAGCAATAGGAGACGAATTATTTTTTTTGTATTAATAATAATAAATTTGTAATATCTCTAAAAAGAATAATAGGAGCAAACAAGAGCTCTGGGTCGGTGACGATGTTGTTTGTTGAAATACAATTAAAAAGAAGTTAAACCTCTTAAAAGATTATAAATATATGTCGTATATATAATGTGTATGAATTTTATATTTTTGATGCATGTGAATAAATTTGATAGAATTTATTACATACAATAATATCTTAGATATATAGAATTCAATCAGAAAGTTGCCAAGTGGGAGTTTTTTCAGAAATATGAGTGAATTTAACGTTTTCCGTCGATCATAATTATATTTTGCAAATATTATTTTGCCAGCGATCTCACTCAAATATTTGTTATAATGTCTATTTCTTAAATAATATATTTAATTAATTCCTACTTAATACCTACAATATTCTGTGACTTTTGCATTGTCGTAGTAATGAATAGTCCTAATAAAAATATTATAAACTTAATATACTGAATAAGTTCAAGTTAAAATATAGAATCCAAAATAGTATCTAAAATTAAATAGAAAAGAAAGACCAGTTGATTTCTAATATGCATTATATTGTATTATACAATACTTATAATCTGTCTATACATTATATACAAGTTAGACAACAAATATGAAACTGATATACATTCATCTATTAGATAGTAATTATAACAGTTTACTATACAACATTATAAACATCTATAAGTATCTATATCTATACATAGATAGCTCTTAAAAGCAAGTATTGCGAATATTTTATGTAAAAAATACTGATCCCTAACAACACTTAGTATTATAAAACTTATACTTTATACCCTTAGTAGCCCATGAATTAATCATAATGCATCGCATAATATAGAATGCTGGACTTCAATTCAGATTCTTAACAGAAATAGATAGAATTATGTGAATAGGACTGGCAACATTTTAAGGGCCATTATAGAACACTTAAGACCCTAGATTTAAATAGTAGGTACTCGAGAATGAAATCAAACCAGATATCTAACTCATACACTAGCAATACATTTTTGTATTATAAGTCAATTATTTATTTAAATGTGAACATAGTCTATACAAATAATCAGACTCCAACTTTAAAGCATCCGAGTAGTAGATGTAAATCACTACATACACTATATGTAGCCACTACCAAAGAAATGTGTTTGTTTACTTGCTGTAAGGCTGCGACTTGACCAGCTTGATTTAGATTAATATAATAATGAACATATATTATGAATATATAAACCTGATGGCTGTAATACTGGATTGAATACTCAACAAGATGCTTTGTCAACTGTCTACGTTGAGGTGAACGTAATATATGAAATTCTCATATTTCGCTACGAATATTTGAATCTAACTTAGCAGGGGGTGAGTCTGGTGCCGTCTCGTGTCTTTATTATGGTTTGTTATTGTTATTTTCATTAAAAGGGATCTGGTCAAAATCATAAAATAATATACATTGTGAAGGCTAAACTTGTTCAAGTTTAAATTTCCAAGTTCCAGAGGTTCTTGATCTTTATGTTCAAGTCAATTTATGATGAACCTCTCGAGTCTATATGTAAATCGGTGGCGCTATCATAGTAAACAAACCTGCTTGATAATGTCAACTGCGAGCATTTTATGTACCAATAATAATTGTAATTAAGTAATAAAATCTAAATGAACTGGATATATTAAAATGGATGAATTCAACTTGTGGTACAGGCGTAGCCATATGAATGTTGATGACTATGTTGAAATATGAATGACATACAAATATGTCACTAGTATTTGTGCTCGTCCGCAGTGAAATAGGCACACTATATCATCCTCTGTTTAAAATATAAAAGATTAACATGTAATATTTTGTTACGCATATATGTAAATTTAAAATACGATATGTACTACAAAGTTACATGAACACGTACAATGTAACATAATATATATAATTATTAATTTATTAGAAGTATTTTTTTAAATAACATTTAATATAAAATTGCAAATACGTCAAATTCTTTTGCACTAAATGTATATTTGTGCAAAAATAATTTATATTTAAAAGAAAATTATATTAATATAAAATTAAAATGATCTATATCCTTTTTATCCATCCTTATATCCACCATAGATTACTAAGTAAATTTCTACAGATTACTTATACCCCAAAACAAATTGTTTAAATAAATAAATCAATCAAATTACTGTCTTTTTTTAATTTACATTACATTTCAATTTTTACATTTACGCCTGCAATATAGATGCATATTGCACCCGTAAATGTAAAAATTGAAACTACCTTTGGCCATTTATGAAATTTTGTTCCTATTTTTTAAAACAATAAATCTGAATTTAGTCCAGCTATATGACATCCTTTTTGGAACGTGCTTTAATCTATGAAAAGTTCATTAACCGGCTTCGAACATAACTGTGAACAAAATATTACAACCACCCCAATTTTTCATACCAGAAACAGACGCCTGCATAGGTACCCCGTCCCATCTTTTTGCTAAGCAACAACTGGTTCAAAGAATTAATGAGATGCTGTGGTAGGAAAAGAGAATGAGAAGTTTCACGGGAGTAGTTGTGTATTCTATAATATTTGTGTTCATGTTTATTACCATTACTCTCTTATTGTTATCACTTACTTGATAAGAAGTGATAACAATACCCCATTAGAATATCAATTCATGACAAACAAAAAAGGCCACGATATTTGAAAATTTCAATAGTTGTAACGTATAAACTTTTGTTACTTAAAATATAAACTCGATCTCAATGTATTAATGTTTTTAATGGAAAAAGATTGCTCCACATAGGAATATTTTTCGATTAAAAGAACCTCTTCATCGAACACTAAAACAAATTACATTCATAAAACTGTAGAGCCAATCTTCAAATAAGTTTAAATTACATAATTATTAATCTTTCTATGAAACAATTATGTTCAGAGTCCATAAATTCTGTAATAATATACAAATAAATATAAAAGTCGAAATGAATAGTTGAATAATTAGCTTATTTATATTCAAATTCCGTTCCTTTAAGTAAAGTAATTAAATTTTTTGCCGGATTTATAGCGCTAACCGAAACGGAATTATTTATTTATTATTTCAATTTTCTTTGCATAATATTTAAATAATAACAGAAAATGTAGATAATTAGATTATTCTAACGCTGATCCAAAAGGCACTAGAATTTATTATAATTATTAAATTTAATTTGATACGTTTTTCAAAATCGTTGTATTTGCATAACCTGGATACATTAAAATACTGAATATTAAAATGATTAAACATTATTTAAATCTGATTTATAGAAATACGAGCATCACTGTAAAGTTGTAAACACTAGCTAATAAACATTAAGCATTAAGTAAAATAAATATAGTAATGAATCTAGTGCATCTCTTTAGTATTATATTACAAAGAGGTAAAATATAAATTTGCTCCATTTCATATCACTATAATACGGGACGACATTAATATTGTAGAAAGTATCGAGTCAGAAAAATAGTTGTAATAAAATCTTGATACTTACAAATAGATATATTAACAGCACGATAATAGAATGTAAAATAAGATATCTGAAATATATAATTATATACATTTTTACTAATTTGACATATTATTATTAGAAACTATCTAACGAAAATTGTAACAATCAGAAATAAACTTGGTTTCCTATAACATCTATATAATATAAATATACATAGACAATTTAGAACACATTTTATACATTATGACTAGATATTTATATTTATATAATAACATAAAAATTGACTAAGTTGATTAAGCCCATAGATCACAGTATAAAAACATCATCGACAAATAAGACTTTCCTCCCTAGCACCGCAAGCGCCATGCGGCGGCGCTAGGAACAGCTTGCCGTTAGCGCACGCACATAACTGGTAAATGTTCTGATGATGTGAATCGTGGGAGTGTGGCGCTGAAGGTGGCAATGGTAGTGCTGACTTCAGTTTCGGCATATATATGCTCGGAGCGTCCAAGTGTATCTGTAATGTTAGCTAATAACATTATGGCTCATAAACCGATTTTTTCCTGCAAATAACACACGTATACATCCTGACACACATTTACACATACATGGACTGTTTATCAATCCCATAAATTGTCTTATACAGCTATAACATTATACTACTGTATTTAGTAGTTACAGTAGTCTTTTTAAAATCACTAATTCTTGTTTGAATTAATATATTGTGTACAGTATAAAATATTGAACTTATACGCCTAAAACATGTTTACCATCCAAGCTTTTTAGCTCCAATTATAAAAGTCTGACACAGTTTGGGAACTACCATGTTGAAAAGATTAATAATAATTAGATATTATATTATATTGGTATTATTGGACCATAAATTGGTACTCTTGTTTTTATTACAATTTAAATTTCAGATAAATCAGTACCAATCATAATATATTGACAAGTCTCAATAATGGCACATAGAATAAAAGTATACTTACTGATCCTGCTATAGACTTTAGGTGAAACGTGGTAAGGCAGCTAGCACTAATGTCCCCAGCGCGAGACTCCAGAGCTATGTTCTGTGCTGCGTGCATTTCCAACGATCGTGTGGGCGATTCCAAGCTAAAATAATACATAGCAATATAGTAATAATAATAATCTCAGGACAATTCACACAGCGCCATCTAGACCCAAGTTAAGCTAGCTAAAGCTTGTGTTATGGGTACTAGATAACTGATACATATACTAGATTTTTTTTTCGTAAATACATACATAATATACATAGAAAACACCCAGACCAATACAAACAATCATACTCATGAATACAAATGTTTGTGCCGTGCGAGGAATCGAACCCGCGACCATCGGACGTAAGGCGGTGTAGTGTGACCGCTAGACCACCGAGGTCGTCAAATAATATAGAACAACATTTATTAAACTTTAAGTAACTTTAAATTTTTTTTACATTCTTATTATTTCCAAAACAACTGACATGAACTATTTAAATTTATATTCTTTTATTTCACATTTATGGGGCAATTTAAAAATTCGTCTTAAGCAGTTAATTGATAATTGAAAACAATATTCCTTAATCGGTAGTCCACGCGTAACTGTATGGAGGACCACAATTCATCCCTTGATTATCAACGCATAACCAGTAAAAAATAATCACCATCAAAATTTGTGAAGTTCGTAAAAAGTAAAGTCTTCATATTTAATATTTATTGAAGTAGTCATAGAGAAAATTATTAGATTTCAGAGAGATCTACAACGAAAAAAGGTTACAAAATGCTGATTTAAAAAAACTATGCATTTTGTTGATTCCTATGAGTATTTCAAATATGAATACATGGTCATACAGTTTTCATTATTGCAAGAGATGAATTGGTGCATATTTCTTTTTAGTATTAACAGTTACGATTAACTTACACTAATTGTTTAGAAGGCGGCGCTCTAACCAGAGGCGTCTGCGCAGCTGTGTGCAGCGTTACGCCTGCAGGGCTAACAACGTTCAAGGTATCAGCACCCACAGTGACCGAGTCCTGGCTCGCTCCTAATAGTAACGCTCCCCTCGAATCACGTACCTCCAATCTAGCTACGTTTACTTCCAGGCGATCGTGACCTAGACATTTGTTGATATAACAGTTGTGAAATGAAATCATGACGCATACGAAAATACGTCTAGAATTAGAATATTATTAATATAATTGGAATAAAAATATACCGAAAATGAGAACCTACTGTTTTTGAGACATATCAAGAAGTACCTATTTAATGACAAATTAGATTTATATTAATAAAAACGAGTAAAAAGCGAACATAATAATAACGTATTCCACATGTCGGTACAGTCAATTTGCTCTTATACTATTTCGAACATACTAAAAGCTATAAATAATTGTAATATTTGACAAATAGAATTGCACAAACAATTGGACGTGACAATAATGCAAAAACTTGAACCACTAAATATCTAAAATCAAATAACGAACATAATATGTGATCTTTTTACTTTATCTTTCCGTAGTCCTACAATGAATTTTCAAACAATTTTATTCGTTAAAATCGCTACAGCTGCTACGGTGCTAATATGTTTTATGAGTATTTAAAGACATATATTTGTACCTCTCTAATATTAAATTGTTATATCTGGTCAACATGTAAATATGTAAATGCATTTACATATTTGCAAATGACTTGCAAATGTTGACGATATTTAATAAACTTTATTCCATCAATGGATCTCATTAGTTACAACATTTATAATAAAACTGATTATTAGTTATTTTTTTGGATAGGAAAATAAAGCCACTTGTGAAATTACGGATTTTAGCAACTCCTTTCAGTAAGGTCACGTTAGTATCATATGATTCTTAACTTACTTAAAAACAATCTACTCTGCAATAGTCCATGGGGATCTCGTGTAGAGACGGTAAAGTTACGTGATGACTCTATAGAGATTGGCTGTCCACGGCGCGACTTAATGCTTGAAGTAAACAATGAATCCAGTACCAACGCCTGTCCCAATAGTTGCAGCCCTCCAGGCACGATACGTAGCTGGCCCATACCCTCCTAAAGAAATAAAACTTTATATTATTTTATTTATTACATAAAAACAATGAATGAAATCCACTTAAATAAGATTTACAAAAGAGGCTTTAAGATATTTCTCATTTGCAAGTTTTATGACTTGAAATGGTAATGAATGATGATCAAATAAACTCAATAAAAAGACGTAATCACCACATATCGATATGAAACTGCACATAATACTTTCTGATTTCAAGTCTTTTTATTCTCCCGTTCTTTATCATATCTAAAATTATTTACTTCCCTTTTTTCTTGTTATTATAATATATTCAAATTTACAGTCATATGCAGTATTTTAGGAAATTATTCGATGACAGAAAAAATAATACTGAACAACAATAGTTAATTATATAATTGCACTGTACATCGTAATCGTAGTCTTCATTATAGTTTATGTAATTTAGTAATATTTAATGCACCATAATACTCACCGAATTAAAATCCAAAACTTTAAGAACCCACAACGTGAGCGCGAGATTAATAATCATCATAAACATAAGTGCCATGACAAGAATGTAAAGACATTTCTTCCGCCAACCGTAGATGCCAACTTTGAATTGGCTATTATAACTGTTCCTGATCGAGTCGGCCTTTGTGTCCCGGCCCGCATTGTTGTTGAGGATTGGCTCCGGGGTGATCTTGTCCGCATAAGGTATCCTGCAACAAATATTTCTTTGAAACAACGCCAATACATTGTTTACTGAACTTTTATTATTCTTTCCGATTTCAATAACCGCCTGTAAAAATGTAAATTTCAATGTAGTGAATAGTAGTCGAGCAGTATATTTGTGGTGTAGAAGTTTACTACACTGCCCCACTGCTACTTCCGATGGTCTCCGGTTCAATACCATTTCAACACAATACAAACACATATTTATGCCTTTTTGTTTCTAATAAGATTAAGATTTTTCTACATAATACATGTAGATATTTACGTCCAAATATATATTAATGTAACTATAATATTTCTAAAATATACAGTTTATTTACTGAACAGAATTTCAACTAGAAACTCGACAATAATTAGTATTTGGCGCTGACTACTACTATGATTATATTAAAAGAAAATGAGCGATAAAGGAACCAAGAAAATATTGTAATAATATAACAGTTTAAAAACATTGAGTATTTAAAGTGACTTGTATTACACATAATACAGAAAAGTATTTAAACATAACAATGGAAAGGGCTATCCATTCTATTGTTACGTTTAAATACTTTTCTTATACACATATAAGGCCTCTAACTAGAAAGGGTGTGTATAATAATTTTTTTTTTCACTACTATAAGTTTGTAGCTATCCTAATTATAAGCAAAATATGTATTCTTTAATATATAAAAAAGTAGGCTCAATATAGTTCTGACTACTGTTGACATTTCCAATTTTCTGTTGTCGGTTCCAAGCTTGGCCACTAGACACCGCGTCCTCCCTTGTGTATTGTTCACATTAAAATATTATCTCGCTTATATTTTCGCATCTAGTACCCATGAAATGCATTTTGGTAGATTTGCATCGATCTAATTCACATTACTTTATTAAAATATACTATTATGTAAGTAGTAATAATAATAATAAATATGAAATCCAAATTTTTCTTTTAAGGTTATTAAAAACAGTACCTAAAACTATAATTTCTCTATCCTAATCATAAGTTACAAAATAGGTTATTTATGAAAATTAGATGATGATATGGCATAATATACGGAATACTTTGTGGTCTTAAAGAAAACATAATATGTAACATAAGTGTGATATCTACATATTTTTGTAAATTATTATTTTTATAATACAATTGCAACAATAGTGTAAATTCTGCACGAAGTTTAACGACTTGTAACAAGATTTATTCTCTTATTTTTAGTTTATTTCACTATTGTTTTTCTTCTGTGAAATATAATTTTCAATTTCTAAACATTATGGACACTTTTGGCCGTGTTTTAAAGTTATCTATCTGGTATTCGTAAAACTGGGCAGCGTCAGCAGACGGGAGCCATAAATTTACAAGGATTCGAGCTCGACAGGCACACTGAAAAATTCTTGTAAGGACGCGGCACAAGTCTGGTCGCCCGTTACCCCTACTGCTAACGGGCGACCAGATACGATGTCAGGGATATGTTTATAACGCTTGCATTTCACGTAACTTTATTAACCTAGTACAAATTTTGTCCTTGTTATGAACCTACTACAGTTGTATTAATAATAATTGATTCTTAGATATTCCTTCTTAACAAAGATAACGATTACGATGTTGAGTAATTTTCTCGTTGGTCTAATAAATAATTTATTTATATATATACAATGACTTATTTAAATGTGTATACAAGTACCTAATTGTGAAATATAATATTCTCCTTATTTTAAAAAACAAATTGGTTTTTGTTTTAATAACAACAACACTTTTTACTATAATTTAAAAAAGTTAAAGCTAGATAAATTAAATATGTGAAAAATAAATATAAGAATTCACAAAAACCAATCACTGTTCGTTAGTTCTAATTCAATAACGGCTTGATCGATTTATATATTTTTTTATGATTGTTGTCTGTCTATCTAAAAACAGAACACTAATTCATAGATAATAAGGTTTATCTATTTAAAACTGTTTAACACAAAAATTCCAAAATCATCACTTCACTGAAGCTAACAAAACAAAAACTATTTCTATATTGATTTTGTCGCCTTTCTTTCTTTTGTATAGAATTCACTTCTGAATGCTAACAGTGTCTGTTAGATTTATTTTTTCAAATATCTGGTACGTTGTTTTAATGCAAACATAACGAATCGTCGAGGCGGATGTCGCAAGCGGGATTTACTCTAATCTTGATACAATAAGGGGGAAAATTGTACGTACCCTCTTTCTATACTAACTCGTGTTTATGGGACAAACAAGTTACTTGCAGTGATGCATGTTGTACGATAAATTTATATTTGTATATTATTTTAGAAAAACGTTTATCATGAAAATGTTTAATTTTAGCTCATTGAAAACATATTGAGTCCTACTTCTAGCTGTTATTACTTCAACTTTCAAATTACTTCTAACAAGAGATTTATTGCACTACTGTGAGAGTTTCGCTATTTTTCATCTATTTTACATTACGTAAACTATTTCTGTAATCAATTAATTGTCTGTTATATTGATTCCACATCAATCTTGAAATCGATTTCGCATAATATTAATTACAATTAAGATTTGATTCGATAAATAATCCCACTCTACATGAAGAATAAATAAAATGATATACAATTATTTAAAAAACTGTTTTAGAATCAAATTAATAATCTATATTAGATGATTTTAAATATTGGCTCTATCTTAATAACGTTTGGTAATATGTACGCAACTACATAAAAAGAAACATGAAATTTTAACGAAATCTGTGTGGAAGCGTTTCTGAACTTTATCTCTCGGTCCAGTCTCCTAACACGTTTGGGGGGTTTACGAGGCATTAGAAACCAATTACACCAATAATACTCCCACGCCCGACTTACCTACTTTTTTCGAATCTAATCGATATCAATCAATAGGTTAGGTTACATTGCTTTGATGAAATATACAATTTTATTTCAACTATACTCACATACTAATATTATACAGAGGCAAAGATACTGAGTCCGGAATAATCATTGCTACTTCTGATCCGATTTTGAAAATTATTTTAGTGTTGGATTTATCAAGGAACACATTTATATAGGAGCGGAGCTGAATTAAAATTGGTGGCTACGGAAAAATATGTGATGCATATAATCAAAAAATCGAATATGGGACGTATAAAAAAAGCCTAACACGAAGACCGTCAAATATGGCTATGTTAAATGCGTAACACTGATAAAAGGTATAAATGGGGTGGAATCCAATAAATTCTCGGCGCGGAAGCGTAAACGATGAACGTAGACGGGCACGTAGCAGTTGTAGCCCGTAGGCGGGGTCCGTAGCCCGTAGCGATGTAGTGGCGTAGCCAGGAGCTCGCGTACCGCAAATGAGCCTTATTAATCATCCCCATCATGGCACCTCGGCCTCTGAGCTTCCTCTGTTACCAGATTCTTCTTATAAAGATCAGTTTTTATTTATTTAATGACGAGTGTGAGTTAAGCAAATATGCAAGTAAAATCAACAACAAAATTTAATTCTAAACCTAATATAATAACTTAACAAATTAAATTTTTATCACTTTTTATTCAAAGTCATAATCAATTATAATTTGAAAGTTGAAATGAGTGAGATAAAACTACCCCCCAGGTCAGTTTATACAAAGTGCATCTTTTGTATGTTAATATTACTAGCTGCCGGCCTCGAATTCGCACGGGTGTACATGTATTATACATATAGGTTACATCTCTACCTCTTGAATCACTCTATCTATTTAAAAAAAACAACTTCAAATCCGTTGCGCTGTTTTAAACATTTAAGCATATATAGGGACAGACAGCGACAGCGACTTTGTTTTATACTATGTAATGATGATAAACATCAGTTAGGATACGATTTAAATGCTTATAGAGTTCAAGCATTTAAATGGTTTTCCGCATTCATTTTAACACAAAATATATTAATTAAATATACTTAATATCATTTGTTGAGAGTATGCGCTAATTGAGCATTTCATCAGGCAGCGAGTGCGGAATGCGCGGCCGTCGCACATTCGTTAGCAATATTCCACTAACGAACCAAACTAATGGCTATTAACTTGAATAACGTAGCACTTTGCGTTTCGAATGCCGCACCTACGCACTCCGCTACATGATTCCTAGATTTCACACAATCGCATTAAATTTCTATAAAAAAAATAAGTTTAGATCTCAAAGAAATCTAAACTTACAATTTTTATATATATTTAAATATTTTTTTAGAATAAACACTACATAGGTTTAAATCGACGTATATATATATACAGATTACAATATCTTATACACATTACACAAAAAGTTTTAGTCATACATAACTCGCGACTATAAAGAAAATAGCCAATTTTTTATCGATTCCGTATCTCCGTTTTATTTATATATAAAAATATTCAATATTTATTACACTATGCTTACTATGTTTACGTTTTTTCTAATAAAAATATGTCAATGTCTAATATATTGTAACCTCAAGAAACATTCGCTTTAAAATTTTAGACACGTTGCCAAATTCTTCAAGCCTCAAGAATAAATGTTCGAATGTAGGGGAGTAATATAAGAAAATCTGCAGTATTTGAGATGCCACTTCAAGGTAAGCTGTGTAAGCCTACACAATGGGAGTGCCATAAATTAAGTTTTCAATTTGCCAATGACGTATCGCTAAGGCGATGTGAAACGAGAAACATAAGGTACCAAAATTGATGTTTAAAACATGCCTATTTCTAATTAAACCTGAATACAAAGTATATACACTATACGTAATATAGTAACGTAATGTTTGTAACTAAAAATTAAAATAATAAATTACTGTGGTATCAAAACTATCTCATATTTTTTTCTAAAATCTCTATCTTATCTAATATCGATTTTGGAATAATCCACGGAACTGAACATAGTAGAAAACCATACAAGTCATTCCCCAATATTACATTATATAATAACATCATCTCATCATCAATAACTTAATATATAATACGCTATTTATATATACGCTAATATATATATACGCTATTTAGGTACATCGAGTCTTAAA